TCCAATGGCGTCGAAAAATGAAGGCCTACCTCCAACGCAACGACCCTCTCCTCGTCGGCCTTCAACCTCGCCCCTCCGGTCGTGCGGCATCTTCGTCAAGCACTGCAATCGAGGATTGGACTCTCAAGTCCGCTCGCGCCAAAGGCAACATCATACTGTGCCTCGGCGACGCAGTTGCATCCCAAACTCGTCTGTTTGTGGATGACGACGCCAAGACTGCCGGCGAATTGTGGGAGGAGCTTGAGCGGATCTTCACGATGTCCAACACCCAAGTCGTACAGAACCTGAAACAGAAGCTAGACATTCTCATCTTCAAGGAGCACGGAAACTTTGACACTCATGTCGCTTCTTTCCTCACTATCGTTAGGGAACTGGCTACGTACGATTCCGAGCTCTCCGGATCTGAGAAGACGTCCAAGCTTATCCGATCCTTTCGTCCTTCGTTCGCCCCACTCGCTATGGTTTCTACCCTTCAAGAATTCGACTTTGACACTCTGGTCAATGCTGTACAGGCTGAGCTTGCTCGTCGCTCCAACCCTCACAATCCACAGCATCAATACCGTTCTCACACCGCCGAGCCAAAAGCCATTTTTGTGCAACACTCTCGTGGTGCGAATGGCCGGGGTCGTGGAAGGATTCGTGGCGGTGCTCGCAATGTGGTACATCGAGGTACCTGTAGAGGGCGCATAGAAAGGCGCACATGTGACTACAGCCACATTCAAGGTCACATTTACCGCAATTGTTGGAAGCGTCGGAAGGAGCAAGACGGCACAGATAACTCAAGGTATGGTTCGGGTCGCCAACAGGGACGTCCAGAGCGACGTTTTAAGTTTGGAAATCAAGTCCGGGACACGCCTCCGCCTCGAGGTCCAATTCGCAACAACGGCGATCACCCAAATCGCGGCTGGGGTTCCGGAAATGACGAACAAGAAACGCAACATTTCGGTTTCTCTCGCCCCTCCAGTCGCTTTGCGCAGAGGAATGATTCAGAAGTCCCTGGTGGATACATGGCTCAGCTTCATGATGAGGAATTTGAATTCAGGAGCAAAGTGGCCGAGTTATCTCGTACGAAGATCTCATCTGCCTACATCGATTCAGGAGCAACCCATCACTTCTTCCATTCTCGTAAGGTCTTCGTCAACTACGCAAGGACGTTTGAAAACGTCAAGGCTGCTTCTGGAGTCTCAAAGTTGGTCGGCAAAGGACAAGTGTGGATACCTTTCGGTGGTGGCATGTATATAGATGCCTACCACGCTCCACATTTCTCCTCGAACGTCCTTTCGGTTGGTCTCCTCAGTGCGAACTTCATCGTTGCATTCACGGACAGCATTCGTCAGTACAATGCCTGCTTCCTTATGGAAAAGGGACCTTGGAAGGTGCTGTGGGAGACACCGAAGGTCAACGGGCTTTACTGTCTCAACATTAACAACAGTACTACTGCCTTGGCTGCTGTCAGATCGAATGTCACAAGGGCAAAGGATCCAGCCAAAGAGTGGCACGCCAAGACTGGACACCTTGGAGCCGATCGCTACATCGAAATATCACATGCTTTTCCTTCGGTCCCGTTCTTCTCGAGGTCCACCTTGGTGAACCTTGATTGCGTGCCATGTCTCCAGGGGAAAGCTCGTCGCGGTCGAATTCGCTCAATTGGGAACTTCACCAAACGTCCCCTTGAGTTGATTCACATCGACATCTCTGGTCCCGTTACTCAGAGTATCGCTGGAAATAGATACACACTTGCTGTTCTCGACGATTTCACTGGGAAGTCTGATGTCTTCATGCTGAGGACAAAAGAAGAAACGTACCACACCCTTGAGTGGTACCGTAACCGCTCGCAGACTGAGTTTAACAACCAACTACTTCTGAAAAATATCAGATTAAACAGAGCAGGGGAGCACAAAGGTGAAGACGTCATGGCTTTTGCTCACCGAAACCGCATCAAGCTGGATTACTCACCGGCTTATGCCTCGGAGAGCAACGGCTCCGCAGAACGTCTCATTCAAGAACATTGGACACGGGCGAGAGTTTTCCTGTTTGCAAGTAACTTGCACACTGGTCTTTGGGGAGAAGCCATCAATCACGGCAATTGGCTTTGCAACCGTGCACCTTCGGACCGACTTGATGGAGGGATCCCCATTCTAGAATGGAACCCAGACACACGCGTCGACTTCAAGCAACTCCCTGAGTTTGGACAAAAGGGACATGCGTTCATCTATCGTCCAAAGACTACGCCGAAAAAGAAGCTGCTTCCCCGTACTGTCTTTGGCCACTTCGTCGGCGTGGAAAGCTCTGTCACCCTGTTCCGTGTTTTTGTGCCCTCTACGAAGAAGATCATCCTTACAAGGGGGCAAGATCTCCGTCAAGACAACTCGGGACATCTGCCGAGCATGTTTTCACTTCTCGACGGCCTCTCACGGGAAATATAACTCGACTCTTTCGAGCAAGGAAGCAACACGCAGATACAAGAGGTAGAACATGAAGCGGACTTAGAAGAGCAACTAAATTCAGTTCTCACCGCTGCTCACGTGCAAAGCCCTGTCGCCTTTATCTCAAGAAAGACACTTCAAGACCCGTCACTGCCGCGATCATTCTCTCGTGCATGTGAGGATGCGCAGTGGGCATCCGCTATTGACAGGGAGTTCAATGCTCTCGTCCAACGACAGACGTGGAAGTTGATAAGACGCACAGAGCACATGAAGCCTGTGCCATACCCTTGGGTATTCAGAGTCAAACCACTTGACAGCTCTGGAAACGTGCTGCAAAAAGCACGGTGCTGTGTACGAGGTGATCAACAGCAACCCTTCACGGACCACGATCCAGAAAACACGTACGCTCCTGTTGCTGCTCACGAAACACTTTGCATACTATTGTCGTTTGCAGCAAGTCAAGACTTACAACTTGAAGGAGCCGATATCTCCAACGCATACTTATACGGTAAACTCGACATTCCGATAATTATGGAGCAGCCTACTGACTCAAGTCAAGTGCAGGTCAAGCCTGGATATGTTGCAGAAGTTCATGGATCGATGTATGGAACCAAGCAAGCCATGAAGATCTGGGGTTCGCTTCTCGAAACATGCCTACATTCTTGGCAGTTTCAAACATCAAGCTATGATGCTTGCCTCTACATGCTTCGACAGGGTGAATCGTTCATAATTATGGCTATTGTTGTGGATGACATCTCTTTTGCATCAAATAGTCACTCGCTTATGACTTGGTTTAAGAAGAAACTTTCTGCTCAGTTTGATGTTAAGCTTTTCGGCTCTCTTTCCTCCTTTATCGGATATCGGATATCCGATATGCTTAGGCTCCTTCGACACTTCCCATATGGGAAGTGTCGAGGGAGCCTAAGCATATCAGAGCAACGCAGACTCGATACGCAAAGTCTTTACTAGAAGCCAACGGTCTCGACCATGCTAACGCCGTCTGGACACCTTTGCCTCTGAACGCTGATGTGCTGCCGGCTTATCAGAATGAAGCGCTGCTCTCCCCTAAGGAGCACTCTTGATATCGCTCAGCTATAGGCGGGTTGAACTATCTTGCTGTATGCACAAGGCCGGACATATCATTTCCGCTATCTGCTTTGGCACGACATCTGCATGCGCCTACACCGAGACATATGGCCTTACTCAAGCAGGTCCTTCGATATGTTTCTGGAACCTTGAACTTCGGTTTATCGTTTCGTCGCTACTGCAACTTCATTCCAGAGTCACTGGTTGCTTGCGTTGACGCCGACTGGGGAGGATGTAAAGAAAACAGGAGGTCTACCACTGGTTTCATTATAGCCATCAACGAAGCACCAATATACTGGAGAAGCAAAAGACAGACAGTCATCTCACTGTCATCAGCTGAATCAGAGTACATCGCTTGTCCTCTTGTGCCAAAGAAGTATCGTGGATCAGAAAGCTTCTCTGGGAAATTGCTCATGCGAAGACATGGAAAGATGACATAGTATTCGGGGGCACACGAATACTAATGGACAGCACAGCTGCACAGTCGTTGGCGTCCAACCCGCAGATATATGCAAAGAATAAGCACATTGACTTGAAAATTCATCATGTGCGCGAACTAATTGACCTTAATGTTGCCTTCTTGTCACATGTGCGATCATGCAATCAGCCTGCGGACTTGCTCACAAAAAAAATGTCGCCTCAACCTTTGAAGAAAATGGTTGAGCTTCTTCATATTCATTTACTCTAGTTGTGTTTATGCCTCTACTCTCAGCAACTGTGCACACTCGATCAACTTCGGTATGCTTTCTATATTTGCGCCCGGGGCTTACTGAAGATCGAGTGCTCATTCACATGATATTTATGGAAACCTTATTTATGGGTGTTCGAAAGTATAAGGTACACAGCAGTTTCTTTAAAAACACGCTCTACACAATGCAGTATATCCAGCGAAAAGACTGGCAAAAGAGACTAGACGCATACAAAAGGAAGGCGAAAGCACAAAACATGCTGTAGCTCCCTTCGACACAGCAAAAAATGCCTCGCGGTACGCATCTGAGCCAGCATGAACAAGGGCAGATCCAAGCTCTTCGTCTCAACAATTGGACAATTAGGCGAATTGCAGCGCATCTCTCGCGCTCCCGTAACGTCATGGCCACGTTTTTAAGGAACCCGGGCCTGTACGGGAAGAAAAAAAGGCCCGGTAGCCCCTCTAAACTCACCGCCACTGCTTGACGTGCTCTCTTGCGTGAAGCCCACAAAGGGCATTTGTGTTCTTCAGAGTTGGTTAAGACCTTTAGTCTTCCTGTAACTCCACCTACTGTGCGAGGTATCCTACGCGCCACGCCATCTATTCAGTACAGCAAAATGGTCCCCGCTCCGATGATGCTCACGAGACACAAAATTGCACGGGAGCAGTGATGTCGCGAAAAGGTCACTTGGACGGTGTCGGATTGGATGAATGTGGTGTGGTCGGATGAGAAGAAATTCAACTCGGACGGGCCGGATGGCTTCTAGTAATATTGGCAAGATTTACGGACCGACAAGCGAATGTTTTCAAAACGGCAGCAGGGTGTGGATTCTGTAATGGTTTGGGGCGCTTTTTCTGGTACTAAGAAGTGCGAGTTCGCCGTTTTAAATGGAAAGCAGGATGCTGTTAAGTATATAGATACATTTGAGTCCTATCTTTTGCCGGTTGTGGATCAAGAAATGTGTCCAAGTTGGGTGCTTATGCAAGATGCTGCATCCATACACCGTGCTAAACGTACTTTCCAGTGGTTTGACGAGGAAATTCCTCTCTTAGAGTGCCCTGCCAAGTCACCTGATCTGAATCCCATCGAGAATTTATGGAGAATCCTAGCGCGAACGGTTTATGCACACCAACGTCAATTTAAGGACGTGGATGAGCTTTTAGAAGTTATAATGGACGCGTGGGACGAAGTTTCAGAAGAATGCCTGGAAAAGCTTGTCCGTTCCATGCAAAAGCGGTGCTTTGAGTGTGTAATGGCAAAGGGAGGTCCGACGAAGTACTAGTGTCTATTGGACAATGCGCCTCATTTGAGGATTTCGCCTCATATGAGGCTTTTTGCCGCGCCGTTTCTAGCGCAAAGAGGGAGAACTGAAAGCCATAGTTACCGCGAAACAGTAACAGTAAGAGTAAAAAACAATGTCCAAGTCCGTTGAAGGCACCTAGAATGCACGGTATTTAGGACGGTCTTTCTAATGCTCTGACAGACAGGAAAAATCCTCATGATCAAAAACGTCCGTCCAATAGACACTAGGAGCGATGAAGTTGAGAAAGACATGCGCTGTACCTTATATTTTCGAACACCCATAAATAAGGGTTCTACAGTATAAATATCATGTGAATGAGCTCTAGATCTTTAAATCCGACCCCAGATTCGGTCTCCTCGTTGCTTTTACAGTCCTAGACGCACCTCAAATTTGGCCTTTACAATACTGTCTGCCAGCAATGTGAGTATTGATGCTGTCCGGCTGTCCCGATACTTTTTTTTCGGCACTGTATGCTGTATGCCGGGGACATGCGATTTTGAGCTGGAATCGCACTTCCCGAAACGGGAGTTGCATATCATATTCTTGTACAATATTCTTGTACCGGGGATTACCGTATTATGGAAATGTGCGCAAATGCGAAACTACACATAATTATGGAAATATCATGCGATGAGAGCGTGACGTGGACCAGTACGTCGCCTTGTCCCCTTGCTGTCCCCCAAAGATACGGACACGACCACGTTTAGGTCATGGGATGCCTTATTCGCACGTGCCTTAGCGCGGGCCACATATCGTTTAGGGTGCAGATTTGCTCTGCATCAGTGTTACTGTCATTGATATGAGAAACAGAGAAGTTGCTATGGAGCTTTCAAACCACTCCGCTATGGAGTTTTCAACCCAGAAGCTGGAGATTGTCAAGCGTTTCCGAAGCCTCCTCCCCCTTTTTTTTATTTTTTTCTCTCTCTCGACAGTGAGGTAGACAACAACAAGCTTGCCTTCTCTCCTGAAGAGCCACATTTTGATGCGGCCTTCTCATGTAAATACGTCTCAACTCGGCTCCATCAAAGATCTTGTACACATCGCAAGCGTATTTAAATTCAACAATAGAAACACAATCACGTTACCGATGAGCTTGTGCACATTGCCAGCACTTGCACACATCTGCACACACCTCCGCACACACATTCACACACTCAACCATGATTACTGACGGTGTTCTACTCGGGATCATCACCGCCCTCGCCATAATAGGCTCCATTCACATCATTGAAACCCTTTTTCGATTGCTCACAAGACTGATAGGCTCCGGGAAAAATGCATCTCGACTATCGGTGGGTGTGGAGGCCGGACTGAACTTTCAGCTGGGTACGTCTGTTTGGCTTTCCTGGCTTGCTCTGACGAGAAAAGCCAGATGCCAGTATGTGCATGGTGACGAAAAGAAGAGACCTTTTTCGGGGATAGTGGCAGTAACTCTTATATCAGGAGTGCTACTAACGACGGTACTGCTGCTTGAGGTAGCAGTTGTATACATGAGTCAACCTGTGACAATATACAGCACTCTCGGTAAGGGGGCCATCAAGACATTCATAGTCCAAGCTGCGGGCAATGTGACAACTGCTGATTTCAATTCACAAGGAATTCTGGAGATTAGTCAGTCGGCCTTCAGTGAGAGCAGGAGTCTCAGGCACGTCTCTACTGCATTCATGAACATCGTAGATGTCCACACCGACCTTGCGCAAGCACTGGCAAATGCATCTATTGAAGAAGGCCGGACCATATCAGCATGGACTGAATATACCGTTGATGGGAGAAACACAGATGGCTCTGCGGTGCATAAGAATGCAAGGCGCAGAAAGTCAGCTAACACGTTTACCCTGTTTGTAATCGGAAGGGCTTACCGTTTGTTTACTGTCACTGCAGAACGCGCGGTAGAGACCTTGAACACCTCGCGAACATACGTATTCACAGACTTCGGTGAAGACGAGGCAGCAGTGATGGAGAAGGAATTCTTCACTTCATTGGGCTTTGGATGCATTCCGGTGAACAAGAAAATACAAAATGCAACCAGAGCAACTGAATACTCGTGCACATTGACAAAAAATCTGATGACAGAAAATTTTCTGTCTGAGCTGGCGGGGGTTATTACTGCCATAGACCAGGCCCGAGCAAACATTGCAAGACAAATATTCAAGGTTGCTGACTACTCTGTAGAATGGAAGTCAATCAACACAGAAGAGGTCCTATCAGCTCCTGGGGAACAGATCCGAGGTATATTCGCGATTGAGACGGGTGTGAATTCATCCAGCAGTGGGTTCATCTTGTTGTGCGTCGCTGCCGCATTCGGTGTAGCTCGTCTAGTTCAGGGTGTTTTTGTTGACTACAGAGGAATAGCTGAGAGCAATCTGTTCAGAGCTGCATGCACGGGTAGCTACTGGGAAGGACCTGCAAACCAAGATAGGAGTGAGGGTTTTAGATGGCGAGTTTATCGAGTCGGGGACAGAAATTGCTTCGGTTTCACAAAACGCGAGTGGTCTGACGATTGCGACACACCTTGCAACGGTTAGTTAGGTAAGGTAAGACCAAACAAAACAAAATAAGCTATGAGGATCCTGAATGGACTCCTGCACTATATTATAGTCAATCCACATTTCAAGACGTAACTGTAGCGGTCCTCGTTGATGGATAAGGTAGTGGATAGTTGTGGAGTGATTTGGCTGTGACGTCAATACTCATGATAGGAAAAAAACTACCTAATAAGCAGAACTGACCACCTATGTCTTGTACTCGCTGGTTGCCATAAATCTAGATTACCAGCCCATGCGTTGGATTGCGATAAGCCACGGATGCGACGTAATCAGTTTCTGAATCAGTGCTGTGCTTGTTTTTTAGCACGAGTGTCGAGCGCATCTTTCCTTACCGCCATCTGACGCGATATGAATCGCCACAAGTGTATGCATGTTGCACGTCGGGTTTATTGAGATTCTTTTGAGATGGTCAATTTTTCCCATAGGAGTCATTGGATTGGGTCATTCGATATCCGAGACAAGTAAGCTCAATGCCAACGTCACTTCGGAATGTAGTGACCGCGGGATCTCCGTGCGTAAACCGGTCTGCAAGATATGAAGACACAATATCAAACGCATGGTTGCTGCAACAATGAAATCTCACCATGGCATCCCTGCTTTTGACACAAAGCAAGAGTGTTTGAGCACGGGGCTTATTACCTCCCCAAACTGCAGGATGGACGACTACTGGGCTGTTCTGGCACCCATGCTACGACACTGATGTCTTTTCTGCTCGAGAAGTACATCCGCACACCAGTAGGCTTTCAGTCGCTATCATTCGATCGTAGCTTGGAAGTTTTACTACACATTGGCCCACCCCATAGCTTGTGCAAAACACTTCCTTCGTTCCTTCCCTCCCTCCTTCCTCAACCCGCTCACCTAACGGATGCCCGTGAAAACAGTTCTTTGTACGCCGGCCTCTCGACAATTCGATCGTGATATTCCCTCACAAACTCGTTTTCCAACAAACCGGCATCTGTGCACTTGGCCGTCATTAGTATATATCCAAACAAGATGTCGACGGCTGAGAATTCATCACCAAGATAATACATCCTTCCCTGTTCTTCAAGCTCCAAGACAAGGTGCTCAACCACGACGATAGAAAACCTATCGCGCAGTTTGGCAACGACTGGCTTGTTGATACCGCTGTCCGCCTTTCCAAATGTTTCGCGGAACACGTCCATGACGGCGCGGTAAGCCTCTGCCACGGCATACACGACGCCCTGAAAAAAGCGCGGGCGTCGCGGGTCGCCAGGGGGCGGGTGCAGTGTGTGCTCTGTGTCAAAGGTCTCGCACATGTACAAGACGATTGCGCCGAGTTCTAGCAAGACGGAGCCGTCAGGAAAGGCGATAAAGGGTACGAGGCGGCGCGGGGAGAGAAACTCAATTTCGGACGAGGTGCGAAGCTGGGCCTCGGTGATGGTGATGACGTCGAGGGACGTGGGTGGGATGGCGAGCTCAAGAACAAGTTGATAGGGGACGGAAGAACAGAACCAGGGGACGTGATACAGGGTGGGGACGTGGTGCGTGGCTACTTCCATGGTGGGGCCATGATGCGGCGAGTGACGGGGAAGGGATGGGGTTTTGATGGAATGTGTGAAGGTGGATTGACCATGGGAGACACGGGTGCGAAAGGGTATGGATGGGCAGAGCGGGGAGCGGGCGTGTAAGAGAGGTTGAGATAGGAGGCCGCTGGGAGGCGTGGTCAAGCTAAAGGCGAGCATTTGCGTTCAGGAAAAGGGTGTCAACGAACGCACGACCGACAGAAATAGTTTTCACTGTGGTACAGACGAGAGAGAACGAAGGATGGCGATGCATGTTACCAGCGCCTCACAAATTTGATACTCTTTCTCCTACCGAGGGAGAGGGAAGTACATTCTGGTAGCTACGGTAAAACCCTGAGATTGCACACACGTGTGCATACGGGTCCACGTGCCACTCCTAACACCAACGGCGCGGATCAGCGCAATCCTCAGCCCCTAAATCCACCATTACACCCCTCTCGTCGCTAGTCCATTACATTCCCCCCGCCTCCCGCTGCAGCTGCTCCCACATCACAACTAAATCATCCTTCTCCGTCCCCTCTTCCCCATTAACCGTTTTCGTCTTCCTATCCATCTCTCCTACGACTGCCTTGCCGACCATCTCATCACCTCCCATCGCCGAAATTCCTAGCTCCTTCTTCAGCATAGCTGTAAGGCGCGCCGCCTCTGCAGCCGCTTCATCTACGCCGCTTGGTCCGTTACCTTCCAGTCGCCCGATATCTCTCTTCATCTGTGTTCCTCGCCCGACACTCGCCGCCCCCTGCACCCACTGCCGTCCCCCCCCTCTGTTCGCCCCATGCCTCTCAGTGTCCCGCGGCCCTGCCCGGGGCAACGAAGTGCCGGACCCGACTTCATGCATCGCTTTGGCCGCCACTGTTTTTGTCATACCCTGCCACGCCTGTCCACCTTCCACTGACTTGTACGAAGCTACCGCCTCGGGCACAAAGCCTGCGGCATCCGCCGTCAACCTCGCCTTCCCATTCCATCCCTTCTTCGACAGTGCATCCGCATATGATATCACCGATGCCTTCGCAATCGCCACCGAGATCGCCTTTGTCGCCGCGTTCTCCTTTTCGTTTCTTTTCATTGTCACTGCAGTTTTTGCTGCCATTCGAGCGTAGTTCTTCACGTAGAATTGATTTTCTCTGTCGGGCCGGGTGATGAATAAACTCTGCGCTGGCACCGCCTTCCCACGTCCGTCACTGCATCTCCCGCTTAGGCTACTCCCACTGATAAAACCTTCGTCAAATACCACTTCAATCAGAGTGCACCCCGTCATTTCATTGTCCTTGCTCCGTTCCAAACCTTCTGTTCCAGTAGGCGGATGAATCCCTACAACAGTTCCGCGTAGTCCAAACGGTACCCCTCCAAATCCCATTCGATTCACCACTCGATCTCCCAACCTCAATCCATATGCGTTTGAAGGTACAAGTGCGCTAGCTGTAAAGCTTCCACTGCTTAAATTCTGACCCCAGTCTAACCCTTCATTTCCAGTCACTAACACCTCTGGAGCTACTTCTCTGCATCGTTTCGAAACGTCAACATTCCCCACCGACGCCGTATACTCGTCTTGTAACGCAAGTACTATACTGCCGTGTTTCTCCAGCTCGGCCACAGTCTCCTTTGGCAAAACCTGTGCATCGACAGAGACTAGAGGCAACTTCGCTACTTCTTGCACTGATATCCACGCCGCTGCCGCTCTCGCAGCATCATCCGCTTTTCCACTTGCTCCAAACACATCTCTGGCATTGTACACAATGTTTCCGCGAGGCCTAGAATTCCCTGCCCTCAATTCCGCCGCCTTGAATTTGCCCACAGTTTCAAAGAGAAGGGGGAACGCTTCGCGATACCTCCGCAACAAGTCTATGGTCTTCTCTGAAAACGTGTAGTAATGCTTTTCTTCTCGTCGGGCATATCCTGGAATATATAGTCCACGTCCGATGTATTTAATCCCAATCCCGAGATCAATCTTTTCCCTCCCGGATTGCAACTGAACAAGAACCGAACTTAGAAACGCATCCAAAACCGAAACTGGCAAATTAACTGTTGCCGACAGCTTTGAAATTGTCATCCATCGCTGTTTGCTGGAAATTGAAACAACTCGATAACCGAACGCAGGCTCACGTGCGCAAGATACCGCCATTCCAAATTCAACCTTGACGGCTCCATTGCGGATCGGTGAGCAAACTTTTGCCTTTTGCCCGAAATGTGATCCACTGCCAACATAGACAACTGTCTGCCCCACTATTAAACCATCAGAGCTCTTCCTTGAGTCATATAAGGAAGTCTTCGAGGAAACCCTGCTTCTCACAAAGTGCGTATCGCAAAGTGTTACCTCTTTTGCTCTGTCCTCCTGACCTATAGCATTTTCTGAGGCGTCAACCTTGACCCCGATAATTTCCTGCGGAGGAGGCAACTGCACACCATGTTTCTGAAGCCAATTCGATAAAAGTATACTGGAATCCCTTTTATACGATGCTTCGCTTGTTTGCTGAACAGCTGCAACCTGCCCTGCTCCCAATCCGTTACCTTGAGTGTTTCCAATTGTCTTCCTGTGAGAGCGATCTGCAACGAAATCAATGATGCCAGCAGCGCGCCAAGGGTATCCAAACCAAACCGGAGATTCAATAGATAGCCCAAGGGCCTCTGCAGTCTTTTTAGACCCGATTCTCCTAGATGCAGCAGTCGCATCATTTGAATCAAAGTCAATCTCCAACACATATGTTTCATTTCGGCTGGGTGAGCCAAAAATGTTGAGGCCTACGAAAGCCAAACGACCGCTGTGTTTAAAAGCACCTAAGTGCGGCAAATCTTTTAGAGATTCATTTGCGTGGGGTGCGAGAGTGCCTTTCAACCATCTTGGACTGAATGGTCTTCCGGAAGGTATCTTCGGAAGGACCAGGTTTGTCCTCTTTGCATTGCTCACGAACGATGGTAGCCGTGTTCCAAATGGAGAAGACTGCTCGACCTTTGAAGTCAGAGACATCTTGTAAAGAAAAGAGGGACCGTGATTGTTTCTGACGATCTCATCTCTAGCAAGGGATTCCAACGGGACTGTTGTAATCGCCTTCAACAAACGTTCTTCACTCACAAACGGGAGCAGGACCACAGCTTCCCAATCATTTCTCTTTCCGTTGAGGTCAGTTTCGAACTCACTGGGATATAGGTCCCGAATAGGTGATGCTGCACTTGTCATGAGAGCACGATAAGGTTTGGGCAAACACCAAGAAGACACGGGAGGTAAAACAGACAACAATTGCTCCAGAGGGCGAAACGGTCTATCAACCGTGAAAGTAGTAAGCTCGTACTTCGCCAGCTTTGCCCCAATACCTGAAATATCTGAGGGAAACGGAGCGTAGTGGAATGGATAAAACCATCGCCAGTGCCTGCATCCCTCACTGTAATACCTCAACACCCACCAAATCCCTTCAATGTAGCGCTGCGTCAAAAGTTGCAGTCCCCCGGAATCACTGCTCAGAAAGTCCTTGCCGAACTTCTGGCTGTAGTAGTTGGTTTTCATTTCAACAAGTTCACGGTCTGCTACTCGCCGGTTGATGTTTTCCGCCTCAAGCTTTAACTCAGCTAACTTCATGGAGCGCACAGCAGCCAACCGTGACTCTCCGTTAGCGAAAGTGTGCTTGAACCCGAAAACGTCATCGAGGTCCATGTTCTGAACTGCTGTGTTTCTGGTGCCTTTCTTTCTGCCACGATTAGCCTGCTCTTCTGCCTCTAACTTCCCTCGCATGATGAGTTTGTCCAGCATTCCTAGCTTTGCTATAAAATACTCCAAGCGCTCCGGGACAATCTTGCCGGATTGAGTAAGATAACCCCCCATTCTCGGCAGAGCCCTTTTGTACAAATGGAGCATTACATTGAGAGTTCCATCAGCAATGGCCAACGTTGGGAGATTAGGAAGAAAATCGTTTCCAATCAACATAACGATGAAGACGAAATCGTCTGTGACGCGCTCCACGTCAAAGAACGGCAACTTAGAGTTGTTGTCCGCGCCAAGCTCTGAGGCGAGATACTCGCGAAACACGCCGATTGATAAGAGCTCAAAGTCGCCAAACACGGCCGTATCCAGTGACGTGGCCACTCGTGGCCCAGATTTCTTTCTCCAACTGCTAAAGTCGATTTTTTCCCTGAGAAGGAAAAAGTGCGGCTCGTGAGTCACAAGCCCAAGCATGATTAAATCGGCGTCCAGCCCGTACACACAGTGACGGGTGTTGGGCTGCATACGACCAGATTCGCGCATAGTACGGATGTACTCCATAATCTTGTGCTCGCCCTCGCCAGGCGATTCTGCACCAGAAAGCACGACCTCTATACCAGCCCATTGGCGGTCCTCGGAGATCTTCTTCGCAACGTAATACTGCAGTACACTGGTGAGCTCTTGCATAAACTTCGTCCCCGGGGTGATACAATTGGAATCAAACGGTTCCTGGGCGGCGGCCGCATACATGGGATCTTCGGCGGACAATCTATCATGTTCTGTTTTCCTGTCTAAGGCCGAGCAAAATCGCCTGGCCCTCTGCTGATTCATCTTCGCGCGGGGAGCGACGCCGTCTATAGCAAGGAAGAGCAATTTTTCGGGCGGGATTAGGGCGACGATGTTGTCGATGTATTTGAAGACGTCGAGAAAGATTTCTTGATTTGTCTTTGGAAGGGTTGCGGTGCTGGCGTAGCGCTTGGAGTCGATCCCACCGTTGCCGGCCGAGGAGCGGGCGCAGTTATGAACAATGCCGTTCATGTCGAGGTAGAGATTGTGGATACGGGGGGCAACGGAGGGAGAGAGCTTGGTGCTGATGAGAGGGTAGCGCTCGCTGATGAAGCGGAAGAACTTCGGGACACCTGTTCGAGAGGGTAAGGAATGGTTAGACATGCGGTTTGGGGCTGACTGAGATGGGAGACGTTAAGTGGAAATGACTCACCCATGATGGCAGGAGAAGAGTCTGCTATACGGGGAATGCGGACTTAATTGATGAACGGATGGGCGACTAGCGAAAGTGAGGTGCGTGAAGGCAGCGGGTGTGCAGCATGCCACGTGGGGAGGGACAAGAGTGTGGTGGTGTGATGAAGACGCTGCTGTGGTGGATGAAGTGCAAACGATGGCGGAGGTTTGCGGTTGTGTTCCATGAAGGAAGCGTGGGGAGCCCTTTGGATTTTGCGAGGGAAAGGGGGGGTTGGGAGCGGGGAAGGCGCTGAGCCTTTTGATGGCGGACGGGTGAAGGGGTGCTCGCGGAGGCGACGAGGGAGTCGCTGGTGCGCAGCGCTTCAGTGGAGGCGGAAGAAGGCGAAAGGGGAGGTAGCCATCAGTTGCTTGGAAAGAAGTGACAAACTGTTGCCTGTGCGGCTTGCAGAAATAAAGGTGGGAAAAAGGAAATTTTATCCAATTATTTGGAAAATATGTCGAGAGCCGCGTAGGCAGAGCCACGGCGACGTGGAGAGTAGGACCTTCAGCTCAAAGCGCCTCTCAACACCCGACAGCACACGCGTACACGTGTATCATATATCTTCTCTGTCATGCTTTCTTTGCCATCTTGTCGCAAACGGCTCACGCACAAACGAATATATACAAACAGATCAAGAATCAAACGTCGTTCCTTCAACCGCTTCTTCAACTTCTCTCCGCGTGACAAGAACAGATAATTTTAGGAGTGCCGCTCCTCTCCCGCCCACCATCGATTGCCCACTGATCCTCTTCTTGCCGGACTATCCGTCAGCACAGTTCCTGCGTCCACCCATCGCTCCAAACAAAATGTCCGCCGGCAAAAGGTAAGCCCCTCCGGAGCGTCTCAAAAGTTGTCTTGAGCTTTTGCGTTTGTTTCCCGCCAAACTAACACAATTAACGCTCGCACCCACCGATCTCTTACAGAAAACGTGATCGCGAAAAGCTAGCCCCCGTTGACAACCGCGCGGGGTTTTCGTCCCTCGATGCCGTTCCGGGCATGGTCGACACTGACAAGATCGATGATTTTCAAGTCGGCCCGCTCTCCGTTTTGAAGCGCGCTGTCGAACAGGATATTCAAGTCCTTATCAACCTACGCAGCAACAAAAAGTTGCTCGCAAGAGTAAAGGCTTTTGACAGACATTGCAACATGATCTTGCAACATGTCACAGAGATTTGGGTGGAGCATCACAAGGGACCCAATGGCGGCAAGCCCCAGCGTCTCGAGAAGACAAGAGTTATATCAAAAATGTTTTTGAGGGGAGATTCCGTCATTCTCGTTCTGCTCAATCCTAAGTAGCGTCTCCACTTTCTCGTGCTTTCTTATCTGTCACTAACTTGTAAATTTGGCTTGCAATCGCTCCCTTCATTTCACAAAGTCACATGGCACTGTGTCGTGCACCACGTCTATTTCCCAACATGTTATTTTTTACACGGCCCCCTATCACGTCCTACTCGACTTGTGCCCTCGTTTATTCTTTCGACTTACTTTTCTTCTTCTTCTTCTTGTGTGACGAATCATCCGCAGTAGCCTCGGCTTCCTCTGCATCTCGCTTTCTCTTCTTCTTTTCCTTTTTCTCACTGGACTTTGAGCTTTTGTCCTTCTTCTCACTCGATTTTGACCCCCTGTCCTTCTTCTTCTTCTTCGATTTGGGTGTCTCCAATTTCACATCACCATCTTCCTCGTTCACCACCGCTTCGTTCTCACCCTTTCCTTCATTCTCTACCGTGCCATTTTCGCTTCTTCGCTTATCCTTCTTCTTCTTCTTTTTCTTCTTCGAGCTCTCCGTTTCATTCTCTTTCACAACCTTCATCTCGTCATCCTCCGCATCACCGTTCTCGATGCTGGCCTTCACAACCTTCGGTGATGGTGCGGTCTCTTCCTTCATCATTATATCCCCACTCGCATTGTATCCTGTCCCTGCGCCATTCCCGGCCTTGTACTTTGCCGTTTTGTCTGCCGAGCGACCCAGTCTCGAGACAGCAAAGTCCGTCTTGCCCTCAAGCTGGCAAAGGCGTGCTTCGATGGCCCTGCGCCCTTGCTCCCCAACTGTAGAATCCTCTCCAGCCTCTCCGAGCGCGTCAACACGGATCGCAAGTGCCGCTTTCGCTGCGAGGGATCGTGAAATCTTACCCTTGTGCTTCGGCGCTGCTTGTCCGACAAGGGACGCGTGATAGATAAGCCCATACTTGGGCGTTGCGTGCTTGGTCTTCAGGGCGCGGAAAAGTGCTTTCTCCGCTCCCAAGATCTGCACTGTCGACGCCGGATATTTCGCAAGCGACAACAAAGAGCCCGCGTGCGAAATGAGGCGCGCACCGACCAGCTCACCGACCATGGCTGTGAGGTTCGGCGCGATAGCGACCATGCGATTGCGCAGATACTCGAAAAGCGTAGCACGATATTCGGTCAGAGAGATGACTTGCGCACAAAGCGCACGAATGTTGGTGACATCCTCCTCGCTAATCTCCGTGCCCATGGAGATCTGGGCGGCGTGCTTGAGCTCCTCTTCGGTCTCCTCGAGCAAAACGTCACTGAAGTCGAGATCGGCGGCGAGGTTGCGCATGCCCATCTTGTCCACGGTATGAGCGTAGGCTGCATTCTCGGTGACGATCTTCCCCATCTCCGGGAAATGCCAGCCGTACCACTCGCGAAGACGCATCGCGTAGATGTTGATCTCCTTGTCCAGTTCGTCCAAGAGACTGATCGCTTGGACGATCATGGTATCGACTTTGTCGGGGGAAAACTTGAGCTTGTATCGACTGAGAGAATGGGCGAGGCCGAGAACCATGGCCTTCCGTGAAGCCTCCTCACCGGCGCCGGCCTCGCCGTCCAGCAGGGTCTCCAAGTTGCAACGAATGGCGCGAAGCAAATCGGATACGTGCTGGGAATAAACGCATTGCAGTTGTGTCTTGTCCTTGATGGCGGCACCCAGCTTTGCGTCACCGACGGCGATCTTCTCGCCGGCGGAGACCTGCTTCTTTAGAAATTTGCGGAGGTCCTTGGATGGCTTGCTCTCCACGAGGGCAGTCGCGGCAGCAAGGGCGGATGTGGTATCAGTGAAGCGGGAAAAGGCCTTAAGCTTGACGACCTGCTTGATCTGGGACTCGGACTCGAGGTCGGTGACGGAGCCCTGCAGGGCGGCATCATCTAGGACCTTGAAGAGGGCGTGGCCGGCGGGGGTCTCGAAAAGGACTAACATGGTAGGGTGGACTCCCTGACCTGCGCGAAGTGAACGGGGCAAGGGATGGGTTGGGATGGGTAGAGATGGGCGCTACGCACAGTACCTCACGCGGCGACGGTGACTTTGTGATATCACAGAAGGATCTAAAACTGGGACTGCTGGTTGACGCCGCCGCCGTTGGCCATACGATGACTTATGATGCGCTAGTCCTTGGGCGATCAAAAAAAGGGGCCGCCAGGGGCCTCCGTTCCCATAAAAAATCTCTCACAGTAAACCCTGAATACTGTACGCCCCCAAAGCGTCCAATGAATGCCCTGCGCACGTCTTCCACGTGTACAGCCGTCATTTTGTATGATCCGTATCTTCAGTACCTGCACCAACATCAGCTCAACTTGAAACAGCCCTTCACCTTCACCAACTCCCCCTCCCTCCCTCCACCATGCCCATCGATCCCCCATCCCCCACCCCCGCAACACCTCCTACTCCCCCCAACCCCCCCACGCCCCTCACGGCGTCGGAGCGCGCCGCCCTTCACGTGCGCGAGCAACTCCAGCTCTCCGGCGAGCGCGACCATCTCAAGGAGCGCCTGCAGCGCCAGCTGGGAGATCGCGGCTGGCATGCCGATATGCACGCGCGCGCCGCCGACATTGCTCGCACCCGAGCTGAAGAAGGGAAGAAACCCTTCACCGTACATGAGTTGGCCCAGCAGCTCGCCGAAGCGGGGCATGGTACGTTTGTTCTGGTTTTGCGTCCTCGCCACTCATTCATGTCCATATACACTTTTTACTTACCAGATTATATCTAGATTCTATTCCTGAGCCCGTGCGCGCCGCCTTGATGAACGATTTGTTGAAGGCGGCCCGCGATTTTGCTGCCAAGACTTCCGCTTCTCAGGCTACGGATCGACCATCGTAGGAGCTGTACGTTTTTTTGTATCTGCAACTACCGTAGCTAGTTCTTTAACGGCACGTTACTGTATATCTCCCTCAGCGTTCCGCATGAAAAAACAGAGACGAGGTTCAAGTTGTCGCGCTCACGTTGTGGAGAAAGCGCCATCTCGTAGCTCTCGGTCGGCGACGCGGGTCAGAAAGCGGGTTTGTGGCGCCAGTATGCAAACGTCCGAGTTTCTGCATATTCACATGGCAACTTATGATGTGATTATTGAGTTACGTAAAGAGACGTGTTGTGCCGAGTGATTGTGCCACACCGTACAGTACAGGGGGGGGGGGGGGGGGTAGCTCTATATCACACTTTTGAATAGCGCATTACCGGATACCTGTATATCGCACTGTTTCGGGCTTGACACGAAATCAGCCACGTGTATGACATTACACACGTGTCGCTCTAGAAGCCCCTAGTAGAGGCCGTACTGTACAAGCGACCCGCACAGTACCTCCAACTTTGGCTTATGGCGACGGCGGCTGAGGAGTTTTGCCCAGTTCCACCTCATTGCCTCAACATAACTAAACAGTATCTTTTTCGAGAGTATTTGCTACATCGCACTATCGGATATATCGCACTTTGAAGCGTTGTGACACTGGGGTGCGATATATAGAAGGTACCACTGTATACAATAATTTATTTCTCTTCGCTTCGATATTTTTTTTTTTGTATTTGTAGAGAGAGCCACAGGTTCGTGTTTCTTTCCCTTGTGTTGCATTCTCAAATTTATTTGGAGGTAGATAAAATGTTAATCTCGTTTGTCAAAAGCCGAGGTCGTGTCTTCCGTCCACGTTAAATGGTTTCAACATCTCGTCATTGTCTTCTTGAGACGACGGAGATAAGAGAAAGATGAACAAAGACGTTGGTCTATAGAGAAAAGCCTGCATTGTCTCAAAATGACTACGACAACTTTTGTGCATAGAATATCCAAGTGTCTAACAGCTAAGGCGGATAGGGAGGAAGAGAGGTTGACCATGACGACTGACCGTCCTCATCGGTACGAAATGCTTCAGAATGGCGCAAGCACCTCCACTGCTTTGAGCTCATGGTCAAGACCGTTGGGCAAGACAGCCTTGCACTGAACTGCCCTTCCCTGCCCTCTTTCGATGTTCGTGTTCCCATGACTCTCAGGACGGACAGTGAAAGGGAGCGCGTAGCAAATCGCAAGCCTATCGTTTGTCGATGTGGGTAGCGATATACGGTAGCCCGAGTAAGTGACGTCGAATCGCGGCGGTCATACTGTACGTTCAATTTGTATGCATGTGGCGGGTGTAGTGGGGAGATCTGTTTAGGCGACAGGCTGTATCGGATTCGCAAGAGGATAAAAGCTGAAATGGGCTTAGGGCTGTTGGTCCTGGGGGTCTGTGCGTAAGGAAAAGGTGGGGTGGGCTGTGGTCGGCAAAGAAAGTGGCGGTGGGGCCGAGGTAGGAAAAGGTGGGGACGTCAGAGGCCGGCAATGAAAGGGGTGATGGAGCCGTGCAAAGAAAAGGTGGGGGTAGGCGCGGGTGGCACTGTGATGGGGAGGCGAGCCACATATCTAAGATCAAGCATTTCATTTACAAGAAACAAAGTCAGAAGAAACATAAGCAAAGAGACAAGAAACAAAATCGGGATCTTGACGTCCTGTTGAATGCACCGAACTCATATCGAGTCGCTCGATGAACTTGCCGGAAATTTATTCATTCTACACAGTTTCTTCAGGAGAAAATTCTAGGGCCAAGCGTTCCGCAAGCAAGCTATTCTCCTTGTTAGACCCCATCGAAAATCCCTTCCCCCTCCTCCCCCCTCCTCCCCCTCGTCCCCCGTCCGCAGTCTTTGCCTTCACACATGAACCGTGCTCTCGCTCCTCCGTCCCATTCTATTTTCTTGTTGTGGTGCCGATGCAAGACAAAACAGTTGGGTCATGGATGTCCCATAGGAAGACTAAATGGTATATCCAAGTTATACATCTACGGAAGCTGATTTCTCGAAATCTTGAAAGAGGACAGGCATCAGCAGTCATGCATGTGCGCCTGCAACGACGACATGCAGTGCAAACACAAAAACCAAAAAAATAAACTGTTTCCAACCCGACCGATCATTAGATACCTCAAATGCACAGCAATGATGACCACGATAAATTGCCAACACCGAACCACGAAGCAAATTCGTCAGAGCAATGATGTTTATATGTGTGCCACTTTTGCATATAGCGAGCTTCCTCTTCGCAATTTTCACACAATAAGCACTGCTGGGCAGTTGCAAATGCGCTTGCCCTTCACACTTGGCCCCGGGTGCGGTCAAAAAAAAAGAATGGGTCTATCCACGTCATGCCCATGGGTCCATTTTTTCCACTCTCTTCCGGCCACTCCCTATGAAATGCCGGCGTGGGAACGAATTGTGCGCATTATTCGTTACGCATAGGAAAAAGTACGGTCTGTGCCTTACACAGTACAGCATGGGAAACAAAATCGCCAATCATACAGTACATCCTTCAACAAAATTGAGAGAAATGAAATGGCGCCACGCTGCGACCTTCCAGTTCATGATTCCATGCGTTTACAAGGCTACACTAAATGGCCGGAACGCATTGTTACAGCATCATGCTGAGGCTCCCCGCCGCACTACGTCCAGCGTATACAATTGGCCCGATCTTGAGATTTGCTTCATTCACGTGAAGCAACCATGCACCCTTCTGCACTGGACTTGTACAATAGTATGACAACATTGTATTTTATTCTGTCCGTCTGCTTGAATGGACTCGTGTTGGGGGCTTGTGCCGCCGAGAACAAGCCCCTAACACGAGTAAAGGCTCATCTCGAAGACGTTCATAGGGTTAGTCTTTTTGAAAGGGGTTTCCTACGTACGTCCTATGTGGAATTCTCGTTATTATGCGCATGAAGGTATTTCTCAGACCAACTCTGAGGGAACGAATAGAGAAAGCCCTGTAGGCCAGAACAAATGTGTGATTCCAGACACTCATAGCGTTTTCATAGGTCATTGACTAGTCATATTACGGATTTAGAAAACCAGAAGTCAAAGAATGTCGCAGCTTAGGATCATTTTGTAAATTTTTTTAACTGTTGGACACTTTGCACTCGAACCAGTTTCTTTGTTCTCAAGCTGAACTCCAAAGACCGAGGCATACTGCCTCGAAGAGGAGGTGGTCAATGTGAATGTCACACGGAATAAAGTAATGTGTTTGAATTGGACAGAAGTTCTTTCAAGCCCCTAAAAGTGAACGGTGCGGCGGTTAGGGAAACCACGTTGTGTGTAGAAGTGGTTACTTGGAAACTATGAGAGCATACCACCATATCAAGAACGTGATCTTCTAGTTGTATCTTGAAGCGGCAATGTGCTGGTCACTCAGCTACAACGACGTAGAGGTAACAATGTACGTGCAATAGAACATAGAAAAACCATCGAAACAAAAAAGCAAAAACAAAAAGCGTTACCATCGCGTTTAGATAAATGTCAGTCCGGTGCTTTCATCGCTGGTGGGAAGAGGCGTGCGTCCGCCAGGAGCTCGTACGATGTTGTGCAACAGAAGGATCGAGCTTACAAAGGCCATCATTTGTTGGGCAAGGGGTGCCGCTCCCTGGAGTCTGTGACGCGGAAGTTCGTGGCCCGATTACTGCATCTTTTGCATTTCATATTAACCGCATGCCTAACATGCTCTTCAAAAACCTTAGAAGAGCTGCCTTTTTCGGGTCAGCCTGCCCCGATTTCCCTGCTTTAGCTGGATAGTATTGTGGTGACATGAACATCGCGCCACGTGGTGTTGTATTGCTCTGACCGAATGCGCAAACGCATCAGTCATCCCCGAGACAGGGCCATGGGTAGAAAAGGTTGTGCAAAATGGAGTTGCATGGACCGAGGAAAGGCAACGAATTTCGTACATGGGGTGGATGTGCCCCGAGCGGCGGTTCAAGTACCTGCTTTGGGTCTTTTATTGTTTGGTGCAACTCTTTGCGCATACTTAGGCCTAAAAGGGGTGGCGGGACATTTCCACTATCTTCCTCTCTGCAACGGCGACTGAAACTATACCCAGACTGCAAACAACGAACAAGCTTTCAATCGACAAGTCTCCATCGGACTTGTGTTTTAATCACGGCGAAACATTTTTTCTATTCACAAGGAAGCAAAGACACAAGCGGGGCATTGACGATGCGATTCAACGTCACAACAGGCTCGTTCCTCTGTGTCATTCTTTCGGCATTGCTCCCGGGCGCGGTGTACGCACATTCGCATCTTGCAGACCCATTACCAACGCGGCAGCTGCACTGCAGAGTCGGTGGAGTGGCGAGAGAGTGCCATGGGCCTTGTCCGATACCCGATGACTACGGGCGACTCAACCCAGTAAACAAAAACCAACCAGCAGAGGTTTGGGGAAGGGGAGCGACGGTCAACGTGCGTTGGCATAGAGACAATCGTAAGTAGTTTTGCATTGGGGGGGTTTTCGCACGCTTTTTGGTTTGAAAGGGTTGCGTGCGTGGGTATGGTGTTTTTTTGATTCGTGGCTCGCTAACCACAGTTCTGTCGATGCATTTTTGTTGTTTGTGATTCATGTGTTTGTAGATGACGGGACCGGTTTTGTGCGGCTAACGCTAGTGCCAATCGAGAAAATGATGGACAAGAAGGCGCACGACCAGTTTGCGTTTCAGTTTCTCTGCATGAACGAGGGGCCGCATCGGTGCCAAGACCGGTCTTACGACACGTGCGGCAACGACTTTGAAGGGATGGCGTGGCAGGCGCGGGTGCGTGTGCCGACGAGCTACCCGGACGGGACGTACGTGTTCGGGTGGTCGTGGTACGGCGGCGGCAACTACCTGGACCGGTCGTTCTTCGGCGACTACTACAGCTGCAGCTACATCGAGATCCGCGGGGGGCTGCCGGTGAGCGAGGAGTACCAGCCCGTATTCGACGGGAAGACGTGCCGCAGCGCGACGGACCAGCTCGGGAAATGCTGGCGCGAGCCGTGCCACTACGGGCCCGTACAGGACA